GAATATACCTGGTACAGAAGTGGTGCGATCTCCCACATATAATTCTATTATTAGAGAGTCCTTTAGTTAGTGTTCTTTAGATGCTTTTGAAGGATGCTTCTACTTTTTCCCTCACACCAGTCCTTCCACGTATTCAGCATGGGATTCTAGCTATATATGTGAGCAAAGTAAGGTACCTTGTCAGAAGTTAGAATTTTCCTACACTGAAAATGTATTTCTGACAGGTACTCACTTCTGCTCGCACTTCCCACCCTTCTTCCCCACTGTCAACCAGTGCTTTTATTTTTTATTGCCTAAAGTTGAGGTGATAGTTAGGTAGAATAGCATACAGGGAGTCATGTGGGTGTATGGCACTATTATTTATGGAGGTTTGTTACACAATAATTTGTATATGAGAATCAGTTAAACCATGTGAATTGAGGGGTGCGTGGGAGTGTAAGGCTTGTGGCATGCTAAAAATTGTTTGCAAATAGACTGCAGCATTGAACGAGAATAACTGTGTATGTGAGCAGAAGTAAGTACCTGTCAGAAATGCATTTTCAGTGTAGGAAAATTATAACTTTAGTGATTTATAAAAAGATTTGCAAACAGGCAATTATTTAAAATGCAAATGCTGAACTTCACGTGTCACAATATTCAAATAAGGATAATTTGTGTACCCCAGGTTTCATTTTTAATTGACTATTCAATAATGCAAGTCCATTTTTATTTGTAGTTTGTTAGTGCAGTACTACATTATCATTGCTTACAGATAACTGTATACATGAGCAGAAAAACAGGAAAATGAAGTTCAGATATAGTGGAAGTTAGCATACAACAAATTTGCTTGTTCAAAAATTTGCCACAAATCAATTTTATTTGTCTAAGAATAAGTACCACATAGATTTTATTGTATATTACTTATTTATTCAACAGTTTATATATATAGTAATTTATTGGTTGAAACATTCATATAAAATGCAACAAGTACCTGTTTGAAAAATTGTGAAATATTTATTAATCTTTGAACTTCTTCTAGATATCCAAATGTTCCTAACCAATAAACATATACCATATGGTCCTCATGACATGTTGTTCCTGTCAAACATACCTCTCACCAAAATGCTAGATAGCTAGTATGTCAAACAAAAATTGTGGGTTTTATACTACCAATATTCTCAATAATAGAAGTAAAAGTTTATTTTAAATATTTGTATCTGTACAGGTTGTGTTTAACACATTTTTGTAGACGTTTGATAGTTTGAGTTATTTAAAAGTGCCTTACTAGCAATTACTAGTGGGTTAATGCTTTAGTTCAGTTGGTAAAGCACTAGGGATTCACTAAGCTTTGGCTAGGACTGAGTTCTCCCCTTGCCGTCCCCTCCAAGAAAAAACAACACGCAAAAAAATTAGAAACAGACACAAAATTGACATTTATTACATTTAACTGAATAATCACCAACAAAACATTCAAGTTTTACTTTCAACTTTCAATGCCTAGCCCCAAGTTCTCAAACCCTAACCCCTATTGTTCTCAAACCCCCACCTTCCCCAGAAATTCACTTGTCAAGCAGTGCCTGTTATTAACCCCTATTGTTCTCTGAACTCCTGACTTTCAGGGGCTGGTCAGTTTTTGTTGCTCAGAACAACTTTTTTTTATAATTAAACGAGTTACTGATTGTAACTTTCAGTACCGTGTTAGCTGCCACAAAGATTAGGGCTTAGATGCCTAACTTTGACACTCAGCCAGAGCTGAGTATTACCGGGTAGCCCAATACCTGGCAGGGGCCGAATATCTAGCCAGGTATCCGTGCATCCCTATAAAGCACCAATCTGGTATATGAGAGGTCTCATGTTCAAATCCAATGCATAAAGTTTTTAAGAAGTTGGCATCCAGCCACTTGGACTTGCATGTGAGAAAGGAAGAACATAGTAATTTGAATTGCTAAAAAATTCTGTACTAGCGGTTACTAGTGGGTTAAGCCTTTAGCTCAATTGGTAAAGCACCCATTTGTAGTGCATGCAGTCCTAGGTTTAATCCCTGCAATAGGAGGTGTAAAGGTTAAATGGAACTATTACACACATACATACCAATTACTTTGATTAATAACTATACTTGATGGGTTGTTTTCTTATTTTACGATTTTATTCTGGCAGATTTTTAGGAAGATCCTTTATTTCTTTTCTTTTCATGATGTTTTTTTGCTTTAAAATAAATAAATAAATAAATATATATATATATATATATATAATCTGTCACATAATTACAGGTATAGGATTTACTTAATTATGTAAAAACATGAAACTTGCAGTGGCAGAAGGTCATATACCAAAATATCAAAACCAAACTAAATGTAGCTCTTCATGTCTTTGCACTTATTTAATTAAAGTATATAAGTATAAAAAATGAACTGTACATATAATCAGGCAAACCATTCTTCAAGTTCGTAACTAACTTTACAATTTTCTGCCTCTGAACCTCCAAAGCTTAACCCTATGTGCACAAGTGAGTCAAAGCTCAAAATTTAATCAAACATAGTTTATAATTCAAATTTTAATATTATATAAGTTTTCGTTTCTTAATTTCAAAAAGAAATATTAGAATAAATTCTCAATCTTCACTCCTCTCTAACACATGACATGTCATAATCCAAATTTCCCATTTTATGTTTTTTTATAGCCCTTTTGATCTTTCAAGTCTTGCACAAATTGCAAACTTATACTATAGATATTTCTGATCCATAATGTAAATTTATAGCCTCCAAGCTTCATACTTGATTGAGATATAAACAAGAAAGTCAAACCTACATGCTGTGTCCCTCATATCATATCCTGTCTTTCACAAAATGTCAATAGCTCTCTCTGACATGTGCTATTGGGTTATTTATAACCAATAAAAAAGAAGATTCTGATTTATAAAATTCATTTTGAGGTTAGTTTGTTTAAGTGAACTTTGGAAATATATGGTCTCAGTTTTATTATTTTCCTTTCATGTTTGGCTCAACTAGCTAATGAAATGTTTTCAACCATTTATAACATAGTTTGAAAGGCAATCCTATTATTGTAGTTTTAGTGCATTCTGCTTTTGGTGTGTAATGATATTTTGTTTCCTAAATTTTGTATTTCAAAAGAAAAATAATATTTTTAAAGAACACCTGTATCATTACATAAATGTAAGCCTACAATGCATCATCTTACTAAGGCAAAACAAGGTGTCCAGACATAAGTATTAAATTTATTGTTTTTTGTGTATATTTTTCATTTATTAAAAATTCTGATTTTTTTGTGTATAACAGAGATTTCACTTTTACTAAATAAAAGTTTGCCGAAATGGTAAATTCAGAATTATACTAAGCATTAAAAACATAGGGTTAAACTTATTATATAAGTAGCTGGAGTACCCATCTCATGGACAGAAGCTATGTAAATTCATGATTAGTGAAAAGTTGCTGCCCTTATATGTACTTATAAAAAATGCCTATAAAAACTGTAAAACACAAAATGTGAAACCACAAATTTACATATATATATCCACATGGACCCAACAAACCTTCACCAAATTTGGTAAAGATCTACTAACAGGGGGCAAAGTTGTGGTAAAGAACACCCATAAAAACCACGGAAAGCAAAATTTAAAATAGAAAATTTGTATGTATCTCCCTATGTACCCAATGAACCCCCATACCAAATTTGGTGAAGATCCATCTACAGTGGGTGAAGTAGTGGTAAAAAATACAAAACTGAAAATTTGTATGCAACCCTGCATGGATGTAATGAACTTCCATACCAATTTTGGTGAAAATTTGTCCACAACAGATGGTACATTATATTTATATAGATATATAATAAACAGACAAGGACTGTTTGGTATTTCAAGGTTGTCCCTGTACACCCACCCCAAAGAAAAAGAAAAGTAAGAAGGAAACCCACTCTTTGTTTTTAATATCTTCATCCCTTTCCCCTCTTAAACTCGTTAGGTACCAGCCTCCACTACAGCTGATGGCAAATTATTGTATAAGCTAACCACCTTGTTAGAGAAATAAAACTGTCTCAGCTAGAACCAAGCCTATTTAAAATATTTTGTTCTCTTTTTCTTTTGTCTACGTAATTCAGCATAAACAAATAGGGGCCTTTATCATTATAATCAAGCTCAATTTTCCATCATTTTCAATTCAACACTCCTCAAACAGAGCACATGTAGGATGATTGTGTAAATCTCTATGAATTTTAAGCTATGAATGTTTTGAAATTTTGATGTGAATATTAAAAAAGTACTTCCTTTTATCTTAGATTTTTTTTTTAGTGTGTGACTAAAGTCGTATAAATTTATCCAACAAAGTTATTTTTTTCAGTAAAACTATAACTGCTGTGTAGGTGTTCTAGTAATGGCATGCTAATTTTATGATTTATAATCAGTGTCATAAAGTAGTATTTGTTTTCCTAAAAATATGGGGTAATTTTAGTACTCTTGTGGAAATTTGTAGGAAAAAGCCAATAGAATGCTATTTATCCTATTTTGAGCTTGTTAGGTTTCATACTACATTGTTTATATCATACATATTCGTATACAACATTTAAGAATTAAAAAAGTAAATCCTAAGTTACTGTACATGAAAATATCTACCATATTAAATTAAGGGCAGTTTGAAAATTTCTTTAAAAGAATTGAAAATAAGCTGAAAATAGGAAAATTAGTCCCATGTGAAAATAATGAGTTAGTTGAATGTAATCAATTGATGAACCCAACAATTAATTACTTAGCAAATTCCACTAATCATTCAGCTCTACATTCACAAAAAGAATATTTTGTTTAGTATCTAACACTTAATTGTCTACTTTCTTCATAACATTCTGAACTGAAACATCATTAAATTCTAGTTCTCTGTAATTTGGTTAACGAACACATGTAGTAATACAAAAGAAAGATTGATATAGACTCATGATGCATCTCTATCTCTGTTTGACAGTTGACTATTGTGTTTCATCATTTCATGATATAGCAACATACATTTTTCTTTTAGGTGGTGCAGTATTTGCTTGAACATGGTGCTAATCCAACATTGCACAATTATAGTGGCATCAGTTCACTGAAATTGGCCATTACAAGTACAATCAAATCTTTGCTTCTGGATAGCTGTTCGTCAACATCAGTTGAAGACTCACTGCAGAGGGCTGCTTGGAAAGGAGATGCTGAACAAGTGGAGAAATTATTAATGAATTTTAGCTCCAAGACAACAAATACTCGTGTAAGTGTAAAAAATAAAGAATTAAATTTATTAATTCCTAAGACTTTTTGAATATTCAAATACATTTTAATTCACTAAATATATATATATATATATATAAGAAGTAATTTTATACAATTGAAAATAGTTTAAAATCTTAAATAATCTTTCATAAATTTATCATGTTAATCATGTTATTTCTATGTCATTCCATTTAACCTTTAAAGACATGATTTCACATAAAGTTGCTTCAATTGATATGTGTAAAATGTATAAATGTACTATAATGATTATATGATCATTTTTGACAGAATATTTCACTAGTCAGACAAATTTTAGCTGATTTGGTAACAAGTACCAGATGAATTTCTGAGTAATTAATTTATAAAATACCCAACCTCTTTGCTAGCTACTGAAAAGATTTGATGCTTGGGCTCTAAGAAGCACTACTTAAAATAATTAAGACATAATAGCAGTGTAATAGATCAGTGCCCAGTGATATCCCTGCTTCTTTATAACTTATTAAGAAAATGTGCAAGTATGGAGGATCCTATTGTAAACAAATTATACTGAATGGAAGTATAAAAACTATATGTAGCTTGCTTGATAGAGCTTATTAATGCTAAATGTAAGTCAAAAGCAGCTAAAGAAAGTTTTCCTTACAACCATGCCATGACCAATTTTTATTAAAAACTAGCAGAAATGCCACCCTACAGCCACTGTTTGTGCTAGTAATTACTAATCATAGTATTCATACTTGATTGAAAACAATTTAGAAAAAGTGAGCATTTTTTAAAAAAGGATTTTTCTGGGAAGTACTGCACAGTAAAAGTGTTCGTATTATGCTGATATAAACTGTATATATATTAAAAGTAGTACCCTTTATTGAAAAAATAACAGTTTTTAAAGTTTTTTACAACTACATTTTTTAGTGCTATATTTACAAATTACATCACTGAAGATATAATCAGACCCTCATGTCCAATCCTAGTGAAAGTTGTGTTCTTGTTGTAAGGAGAGTACTTTTATGTAAAATTATGTTTTACTATACAGAAATGGTTGTTGCACATACCACAGTTATTTTTCTGATTGTCTTGATTACCCAAAGTGTAAAATTTTTTTTATGGATATTTGTTTATGGTAGCATTCAATAGATGGTGCCACACTGCATTTATTATTTTAGTCAGTACAGTGATACATACATGTATACAATCTAGTCCATTATAATAAGATGATGAATGTATCAAAGAAAAAAAACTACATTGTTAACCTAAGTGATTTTTAGGAAGAAAATCTATACAGGTAAAACTGCCATTATAGGCTTAGCAGAGTGTTAGAAGCTGCCATTATAGGTTTAGCAGAGTGTTAGAAAAAATCAGTGTTTCTGTCTTTGTAAGTTCATAAGCAAGAGCAATGTAACAGGTAGCTCTAAACTGTAAGACATGCAGTGTGAATGCTTCACAGAGCAATTAGGATCCCTGCTACCAACCCAAATGCTCCTTTTCTGGCTCAATGGTAAGATTGAGGGCTTATAATGCTAAACATTAGGTTTCAATACTCATAGTGCTCATAGCACAGATAGCCCATTGCGTAGCATTGTGCTTAACAACACAGCCAAATTTAGTATAAGCCTGGAATGTGAGTACTCTTTTAACAAGACAAGGAGGACAATTTTTTATTTATTTTATAATAGAGTATACTGGACTCCAGACTCAATTAATTCAAAAGTTAGTCGTACAACCAACATTTTTGTTCCAAAGCATTTGATTACCTTCATGCTTGATCAGGATTGCCCAGTCTTAGCTTAATTAAAAGTCAAGATAATTTGCCAGTGTACATGGTAAAATTATGATCCCTATTGCCTATGTTGGATATGCAATTCATATGGGCTCAGTTCCTTGTATTTTATGATAATACATTTCATATAAACAAAGACTGCTCAAGTGATGAAATAGAAGTCCTGCTAATCAAACACCCAGATTCATATATTTTCACTCATTCCATTAATCTTAATAGTTTTTAATGTAGTGCTTTCACTCATATGAGAGAGCATAATTATCTCAAATTTGAAAGCTTATTATAAAAACTTTTAGATTCACTATGGCATATTTTTCTGTGCATTTTGGGACGTTTTATTAAGTTATATTCAAAATTTAATTGAACTATTTTCTAATCATGGTATATGAATAAACTTGGCATAAAAATGTGGCAAATAATTTGGATTTTGATATATGATTTAAGCTCTAAATTTTATAAGGCAATATTAAAAGAATTTCCTCTGTTGTGAGAATTGTGACATTTGCTCTCTAGGTATTCCATCTTCTCTAAATTTCATACTTCTCAGAGGGGTGGTAAATAAATCAATGTAAATTATTCATAATATTACCATTGCTCAGGCAAAGCATTATTTTCATAACATTCAATCTTATTTGGTTACAGAGCCATAAAATAGAAAATCAGACCCCTCTTGCCACTCCCACCTATTGCATTCTCTCTTTCAGAAATTGTCAGTAGCTCATTCTGATGTTTAATACTATATTATTTATAACAGAGAATTGTCTATTTCACTTCCAATTCAAACCTTATTCCCATAGGAAACACATCAATGAGCTTAGCTGAATTTTTAATAGTTCTTATTGCATAGTTAGAAAACCAGAAAGTTATAGGACCTTGTCTGCTTTTTGCATATTATCATTCTGTGTTATTTCGTGCATTATTTAGTGCTGTAGTACCTTTAGTATAAAAAAGTAGGGTTAAGTTTCATTGACAGTTGACAGCAAAAAAACAAAGACCACCCAGGTAAGTACTTTATTTCTTGTTTTTCATGTGTATTCTTTATTTATTATTATAAAAGTAATTAAAATTTAAAAATTAGAAATTGTTTAGGTTAGGTAAAATAAATAATAGTAAAAAATTGTCATGAAGTACATTCGCAAACAGTCTGTGCATTATGTAATTTAATAGCGTGACAATATTTGAGATGAATGGAAAATATGTATATACACACACACACAAATATACAGTTCAAAAGAAAGTATAGCATGGACTTTCTAATGAGTTGGATAATGTTAAATATTAAAATCTACAGGTTAATAAAGTTTCTGACTGCTTATTCATATTTATATTTAATATGTTCTAGATAAAAAAGGTAAACTTTTCCATTTAGTTTTATAGAGAATTATATATACATGTATTTTATACTATAAAGCATTTTATGACTGTCTGTGACAATAAATTTCCAACTTTTCAATCAGTGATCACCATGAAAGTTTTTAGAGGTTCTTGGATATGCTCCGGAGGGACTCTAAAACCCCCTTACTTTATTTATTTTACAAGTTTGACAGACATTTCAATTTTTCTTACTACTATCTTAATGCTACTTTCTGAATCTTGATTGCCTTGAAACTTTCAGGGGTTCTTGGGTATGGCCCAGACCTCCATTACACCTAGAAGTACAACTTAGGTAAAATGTTGAAAATAGTTTCAATGATATGAAGATATTGGCCAGTAGGGGTGAATATCTATAAGATTTTATGCCAGTATTTTGTATATGTGCTAATGAAACACACACAAAGGTATCTTTACTAGCATATTTGTAATTTAGATTTTTCAAAACTTAAACATTAATAGTTTGCAGTTGTTGTTATTTTCTTATTGTATTTCTATATTGGTTCTCAACGATGTTCTACCACCTTTGCAGTGAGATACTGCCAGGAGAAAGCTTTAAGATGGAGAATAGTTTAAAGGGAATGAGTCATGATAGTTTCGTTGTTTCTGACTGCTAATTTGATATAGTGTTTTTGCTAAATTTAAAGTGATAGAAGTTTCTGATTTTTATATATGTAGTGTGTAGTTGTTAGTATAAAAGTATAAATGTTAAGCAGAAAAATAAGTTACAAGTAATCATTTATTATCTATTAACTATTAAAGGCAAAACAATACTTATTGTATTAATATTTGCCCATAAAAATTAGGAAGAAATTTCCCAGTGCATAAATATTTAGAATTTTTGTTTATGTAATATTTTCAGATCCAAGATTCACAGCACAAAGTACAACATTGTGACAAAGAAGGTCTTGATATGTTGTTATTGGCAGCTCAGGATATACAGGTATTTGAGGAGCTTTATCAACAAGGGATAATTGAAGAATACTCTCCTACTGATGTAGTATGGAAGCTGTTACAGGCTGGTTGGTATGAAAGCTAGATCATGTAACAGAACAATTCTTGTTTTGTACTCCTTATACAATACTAATAAAATCAGAAAAAATTATGTATTAAAATGAGTAGGATTTTAACTTCAGTATATTTTTTTATTTTATAACAAATCTCTTTGTACATGTTGAACAATGAAAACTTTCTTTACAAATTATTGCAAAGGTGTATAGTTATGTAAAAGGCAGAAGAGAAAAAAACAAGATAACATAAGACCATTCAACCCACAAAATCACTCCTTTCTTTTGTGAAAAACCATATTACCATGTCTTTATTGAATGCATCTTTTACATCAAGAAACGTGTCCAGCAAAAGATTAAATTAATTAAAACTTAACAGTTTTTACTACATCAAGCAGAAATTAGTTTTTCTTGAAAACAAATCATATTTGTGCCTTCAGACCTTTTATTTTGAACCTCAAGTATCCAAATTTTTACTTTGATATAGTTCCATTTCTCAAACAGACCTCCAGTGAACATTCTATCCAAGCTCAAATATTATGATTGTTTGTATTGTATTTTTCAGTAAAAACAAATCTCAAGCCTTTAAAGCTTCTTATCTTAACTCAAGTTTTTAAAATTGAATAATGTTGTTTTGTGGGTAAAAATAAAATTGTAACAATTACAAAACCCTGATTTTGAACAACCTGTGCTATCCATTTATGTTACTGTTACTCATTAAAATCACTTTATTGCAATTCAGTTTTTCTACTCATGCCACAGTTTTTTGTATCAGTCTCTTTTAAATCTCAGAGTTCTCTCTGATTGTGATTCTTACATCCTGGTTAGATTGTTGTATTTCTGAGACTTAATATCATTAAATCAATACAACAAAGGGATGAGCTTGTGAGTTCAAGCTATTTTCTTAGCCATAAGCTTTCAAAAATTGTGAAAAGTTATACTTAGATAGCTGAATACTTATCTTTAATCTGAATTACTTTAACTCTTTCAGCCTGGGCTTAGTCCTTGGGACCAACCTCAAAACCATTTTGTGCTTGTTATAGTTTTCATGCTATAACTTTTAAATTAGTAAGCGAATATTAACTAAATTTGGCAATTTATCAGCAAACATTACAATGCTTTCATATGCAAAATATCTAATTTTTTTATTAAGTCTTAAGGTTTGTAAAGTAATATTTCTCTCATGCTTTT